ACGAAAGCGCCCACCTAAAAGGCCCGCGACATCACAATGCTGCAAAGGAGAAGAAGAAGCTGCTGTTCAAAAAAGTTTGATTTTTATTTCTTGCTCTTTCGTATGAACACATTCGCGCTGCGCATTGTGTTTAGCAAGAATCGTTCCAACCGTATGACGTTGTTCCGAACATGCGACCAGTTGTACTCGTCGGACCTTCGCTGAAGGGTTATGAGGTCACCGATATGATGCAAAAGGCTATTTTTGACTTTCTTAAACATCGATTTGAAGGAAGGTACGACGTGTTTTCACAGCGCATTTCTTTCCATGGGTATGTTACCTTTCAGAGTGAAAATTCGTCCATGTTGACTGACACAATTTTGCTTGTCGTTCCTGACCGGTAATGTGCCGTTTTTACCGCATTACTGTCTAAGCCTGAGCTTTCATCAGAGAAACGGCGTTAGCTTTAATGTGCAACAAACAGTGCTGAAACTTAGTCTTATGACAGGCTTAATAATAGTCCGGCAATATGTTGGCTTGGACTGACCAGCAAATCAGTGTCAGTCGATGCCGCTATGGACTTCATTAGGAATTAATTTCAGTCTGTAAAGTATGGATGGCTTGTCACTCTGAATGGTAAGATACACTCGAATAATCAGCATTTCTTATTCACTTGTGACTGCTAATTTTGGGCTAGAAAATTTGCTGATAATTTGTTTCTGACCATTAACTACCCATTTTGACACTTGCTTTTGCTGTTGTTCCCGTTTACGTTTTTTCACGAAAGATACCCTGTGTAGTTATTCTCGTCGTACAGCAGCTCTTTTAGCCCTCACCTGTTATTTATAATTAACAGTTAGCGCGCAAGTTTGGATTTGGCGCAAACCAACCGTTAATACAAATGTAAAAATTGTGAATTTAAAGTTATGATATAAGTTTTCAATCTTTGTTATGTATTACCAAAGTTAAAAATAAAGGTTTATCGCCGACAGTATTTTCATTGGTATATGTTTTCTCGAAACCAATTTGCAGCGTTATGAAGCTGCTCTCCCTCTGATTTTTAGATTTCTGAAGGGAGAGCATATGGGCAATCTGCAGCTGTTATTTAAGTTTACGTTATGATATGTCTAATGCCCATCAATACAAGTTTCTCTTTGCCATGTTGCATGTTAATAGATGACTTTCTAAGTACCCTGATAGAGTATATAGCGTTCATATTACGCAAATATTGCGTGTTTGCTCATAACTTCTGTTTCTAAGCAACTTAAGGATATGCATTATTGATAGATGTGGCGCTACATGATTTGACTGTTTTGCGAAGGCGTACAAGGTGTTTCGACTCCTGAAATATCATTGGTGAAGAACAGTGTATTGCTCTAGCCAGTAAAATTGCCTGAGATGCATCTAACACTTCAGGTATTCAAACAGCACGAAGTCGTAACCGGTTTAAGTAGCCCCTAGGCAATTAGGAGCGAGTAGCGATGTAGTGCGCCGAAAAATCCTGTTTTAGAGAAGTTGTGAGTTTAATAAAACTAATTCAAGCAAAACTTTCCATGGAACTTTTAACACTGTCATAGCCCTCATAATAAGCGACAGTCACGTGAATAGTTACGAGAGCTATAAGACCAAAAGGAACAAGACAGCCATTATTTTTTGAATGCGGTGGTTTCAGTGTTCTGGGAAATCATTCGTGAGTCACGGTTTTGCATTAGTAGCGAAACTGTCAGACACAGCACCTAAAATTTTGGGTTCGGCAACCCGCATTTGTCCATTGAGCTTAGTACGAACTATTTCATCTCGAACTTGGACAGCATGCCTATTTAACGGCGACCTGTACTAGTCACGTCATCATAGAACATCTTACTTTGCAGTATCCTTGTTGCAGCCAGTCGTACTTGTGACTGAACCCTGCGCTCTTGTAACACTGTTAGCTTATTGCCCACAACTGTTATTCGGTGCTTATTTATTCTTAATCTACGTATCTGATAGTTTTTCTACTATTCTGGCAAACTCACTCAGCCACATTTGGCTGTGTCTCGCAAGAGTACTGAACATAGTGCTCTAATCAGGTTACATCGAGATTCTCCGATCATCTTGAATAAAAGTTTTAGCGATTGCCTGAATGATAGAATTTCGGTGGAAATAACCTTTATAAAGCAGAGTATATAAACGGATACAGACAAATCTGTATAAAGTAATTAATATGGATTTTCAGGCGATCCTTCTATATAAAGCTTCGAAATGATATGTCCGTTTGCTTCTTAAAGCGACTTACTTCCGCAGATGGGTTATAATGGCTCGATTGTATTTCATTTCGAATGGCTTCGATGCACATTTCTCTAATTTCTACTTACGGAATTAAAAGCAACTCACTCTTACATCAACATTTTTACGAACACCACAAGTGAGCGCATTACGACGCACTGCGTCTTTTTGTTCTCTGTTTCTGAGATAGTCTCTGAATCGTGAAAATCTTCAGAGTGATTACTCTGCATCTCATTATCATCGCCGTCGTTATCGGCCTTTGTCGATTCACTGCTGAATGAAGACCTCTCTGAGACATCGCCATAGAATTCTGTTTTCTGCTATTTTATTCATGTGGATTCAACGCACTTGATATGCTCCTCCTGCCATCAGTCTAGAAGTCTTTCCTCTAGCCGATTGCTCTCTCTTGCAACCCAGTCTAATAGCGATGGCCAGTTCATCTTGCAACCTGTCGTGTCCATTGCCACTTATACTTTTCACTCGGACAGTAACATCGCTGGTTCTTTCCTGCACTCTTATCCATTCATTCGTCTTCGTAATATTTCTTGTTATTCTGCAGCATACATCATTCCATGATGCGTTTCGTAGTCGGCAGCTTATGAATGGCTTTCACATAAGCACATGAATGGCTTGGGTGCACATTTCGTATTCACTGGGTGGCGCTGAAAACGCACTGGTCGCACTTTCGTTTCAAGCACAAGGTCAGTTTTCTGGATATAAACATTTTCAATCTTTCAGAAGTGCAACATGCCATTTCTGTTCTTCTGTTAATTTGATATAATCGGTTCTCTGTTGCAGAGATGACCAATTCCAGGTAGACAGTTTCGCGCGTCTTCAGTACTAAATCCATTGATTTCAACTGTACGCGGGTCTTAATTTGTTATGCATGACCTGAGTCTTTTCACGTTGATTTTCAGTCCTATCTTCATGCTAGCATCGTTCAGCCATTTGGTCTTTTGGCAGTTCTTAAGATCAGAATGTTGTCCGCAAACTGTATCTGGCTTATGCAGTGCCCATTTATCGTCAGCGTCCGATTTTCTCAACGCAGTGTCTTTATAATCTCTTGTAATACGGCTGTGAGTACCTTCGGTGATATTGCGTCCCCGTTCTAATTTTTAACTTTTTTGTGCGTTCGTTAAGCTTCATGGCAACTGCATTCTTATAATTCATGGCGATGAGCTTTCTATATCGTTTTTCGATTTTCTGGCTCCTCAAGGAAGCCAGTATTGAACGAATGCAGTCTGAGTCGAAAGGCTTTTCGAAATCAGCGAGTCCCAGAAAAACAGGAAACATATTTCTTGCTTCTCTATCACTTCTTCAGATGATTCATCGTATTAAATCCATTTCTCATTCTTGCTGCTCCATTGTCTTTGTAGCTTGCAGTTATTCTTGAAGTCTATTCGTCGGTACTGTAGTGAAGATCTTGCAAATGACTGTTGTTCTAGTTGTCATCGTCATCTGAAGTATTATAGTCAACGAATGAGTATCCGGATTAGTGATGTCTGACGCCTTGGATTCTCAGAATAATTTAGGCGATGTTGGTTGTTGCGTCAGGGTCATGTTTCTCGTCGCAAGCAAGTCCACCTCTAGCAGCTACTTAAGGGTGCGATATTGGCCTCGGACGTGCCTGCGGCCATTTTTGCTTCCCAAAGGAGAATGGTTTTCAGTGTCTTCTCTCTCTCTCTCTCCTTGAATGGTTCTGTCAAACCACGACAGACAACGGTCCTTGATTTTCTCAAACAACATTCGCAGACCTGTCATCTCCAAGATGTTTTTTCATTCTTTATTTGATGGGACTATCGCACTTCCAGTACGTTACGCAGACCGCGCTGCTGAAAACTATCCAGCATGCTTTAATAGCGCTTTTAAAACGTTAATGTTTCAAGGCTGTACATCAGCATTGAAAAGACTGCGAATTCAGTATGGTGACCTTTGATGC